CACAGAAATGATCACTTATCAACCAAAAAAGACAAGTGACCAAAAATTCAGTCCAATTTAGAAGACAATTTATCAACATATTTGCCCCCATATATCAGTGGAAAATTGTAGTTTTGTACGTGAAGTACACAGACAGTAGTGCATCTTTGCATTAAGTTGTCCATGTCCATATTATCGGAAGGGAAGTGGCCCAAATTGGCTTCTCCAAAATTGTATTGTGTGCTATTAAGTGCCATAAAAACTGTTCCTGGGGAATATTTGCCACATTGGTGATTACTGCGATTAGTGCTGCATGATTAGGATCTCCCTTATTTAGAAACAGAAATATCTGTTCCATTAAGCTGAACACACACATTGTCCCACATTCCCATACCATTATGCCTTTCGTGAAGATGGTCAGTTAAGATTGTTGTCACTAAAGACATAAATGTCTGTGAATATTCTCATTCATTCAGGTCATGTTATCCAAAGTGTTTAGTTGTAAGCAACTGGACTTCTCCAGCTTCATCATTAACGAAAACTGGCAGCATACTTTTTAATTGAATTTACATGGAGAATCAGAAATCAAAGCTTGTAACAAAATTTGAATCCAAGCTTAACATTTAACTTAAATTTGACATTTGGAGTTAAAACATATAGATTTCTCCTGACATGTCCACGTGCTTCTCAAATTACTGTAGTCTAAGAGTGCAGCTACTTAAAGTAAGATTTATGTTCAAATCTCCAAATGAGGAGTTAGCATTCCCATGTGCCCCAGGTCGTAGGATACTGTCCGTGGACACATGGAGCGGTTTGCTATGTGCATTAGGAATCAAAGAGCGCTATTGTTGGAATGAGAAGCAGATGTTAGTGAGGAATTCTCCTGACTGCAGCCGTTTTTTTTTTTTCATGCTTGAGTTTCAAGCGCTGCCAAACTTTATCTCCTTCTTTCTCCCTGTATTGTCTCTTACAGTTTGACACATACCACACCTGAAGCTATTCTTAAATCAGTGTGGTGACAGCTTCCTTTATTGGGGCAACAGGGAGACTTTTCCCTCGTGCTCCAGCTTCCAATAGCTGGACACGGAGACACCCCACCCATCTGATGTCAACGTCGGAGGGAAAGAATGAGAAAGAGAAGGTTTAGTTGGGACAGAGGCCCTCTCTTTCTGTTTCCACGGTGTGGAATTTGTTGTCACGCCTGAATCCGAGGTCTGCCACGTTAACAGAATCCCAGCTACAGGCTGAAAGGCAGGAGGAAGTTCTGTTTGGTTGCTCTTTGTGCCTCCTGCTTTAGACGAACTTCAGTGTCGCAACACACTTTGCATGGCAGCGAAGCGGGGGTAGTGATGGAAAGCAGCAGTAATTTCATTACCCAGCTCTCCCGTCACACTCAAGCACAGCATTACCCATGCGGAGTGTAAGAGAAACCACCCTTTAATTTCACAGTGGACATTCTCTCTGCGGTGAGGGCTCCCGGGGAGGGCAGACATGACGCAACTCACTCTGAAGAAGCATCGATTTTTACAACAGTCACTTAGCTGCGAACTACACCATGAGGCCCACAAGCTGTGGATCGGCATCATCACAGGTAAATCTGTATAAACTTTAATCAAACACAATTGACTGATATGTTGATTTGAAAGTGGCCAGACACCAGCTGACCTAGGCCAACCTTAAATACAAACAAACAAGTACGGAAAATAACTATATATATTTTTGGCTTCTTAGCACAGAGCTGACGGTGCTGCTCTGTCTGTTCTTGTGAAAACATGCAGACTTTTCTCGACTGCAAAAACATGTCAGGCCTGATGGACACAAATTACCCTCAAAAATACAACAACAACAATAGCAACTTCTCAGTTCATGTGTAGAGTGTGTGCTGGATGGTTTATGTGTTAACCTCTGACTGGATCATTTTTGTGGTAGTTATGATTCCCGTGTTCACGTGGTGTCACCGTCTGAAGTCAACGATTATTTTGATTTGTAGAGATTTGTAACCTGATAAGGAATGTATTTTTTCCCCAAACATTTAATACAAAAGCAGAAAATACTGAATATTTAACTCAGCTGTAGTTCTTGTTCCAATGGAAACTGTGGAAAATAGAACATTCTGAACTTTTAATGGTAATTAAGATGTAATCACAATGTTTTTTCTCTCTCTCTTTTCTTGTCTGTGTCAATTGTATAGACTTGGCAAAGTAAACATTCAAGGTTGTTTCTGTAAGTAATGTGTCTGACCTTACTTACCGGGAATCATTGGAGGAAAGGAGTGATGTATGGAACTGATCCAATTAGAAAAAGCTAATTATCCTCACAGCCTTCTCACAGTCCGGCTGCTCGCTAGCAGTAACTGACATATGGTCATTGAAACAGAGCAGGACCAGTTACTGCTGTGTGTGTGTGTGTGTGTGTGTGTGTTTGTGACTTATTGTACTCTCATCTCAATTTACATGCACTTATGTGTGGTTTAATTTAGTAAAAGTTAGCATCACTGTGGGGAATTGTATCCGTTCACGGCTCGACACCTGACTAGCATTAATGAGAACAGATGCTGGACGGTGACTGTTTGTATGTGCATTTACGGCTGCTTTTTCCCACAAGACAACAATGTTGTCTTGTTTCACCTCCTAAAACAGACTTTCCATGGGCTGAACAATTCTGGTAAGGCCATACACTGCAAGGAAACTGAATTGATTAAAGTTTAAAGATAAACAGACTAGTTTAATACACCATTTGTTTTGTTGTGATGATCACTAAAAGGTCTTAACCCTGCTGTTTTTCTATTCTCCACATATGCACATTCATTCGCTAATTCCTGGCACAGGTGCCACAAATGTCTTAAGGCGACTGTCCTGACCTGGGACATATTGGCATGAGGACAAGCAGAGCATATGACAACAATCAGTCTTTTTTTTTTTCAAGTTTTTCCAGTTGTTAAAAGTGTTTAAACTCTTCAGCACAAGCTTTACACTTCTTTGTTTTTCAGGAGTAAACTTCGTATGATTATATTTAATCCTATTTTATTATTGGTAATTGTAAAAAGTTTATTTCTCTTGTTCTTGAAATGCTCCTGCAAGAGCAACTGTAATACCAGCAACTTTTCTTTCTAACTCTGACACCCTTTTTTTAATCTAAAGGCAAATGAGGACTTCAGGCCTTTCTAATTTTTATGTAAATATTAGCAGTTTGGAGACTAGAATTAATCACGTTTTAGAAACACCCTTGTGTTTCCGTTTCAACAAGGAAAATCTCTCACTCACACGAATGAAAATATGAGGGTTAAAGTGAAAAAGTCAAGATCATGATCAACTTTAAATAACTTATATTAACAAGAAGAAGCAGCTTCATCAGGTTTTGGTGCTTACATAACACGTCACATGGGATTCAAAATGACAAACCACCAATCACAAGCCTACTCCTATAAACCAGAAGTTGCTCAAAGGTCTAGCAATTTGTTTAAACTAGTGACAGCCATGTATGAAAGAAGAGGGTGTAAAAAGTGTAAAACCTCCCACATATGACCAAGTGTGCTCTTCAAACTACATGTATCCGGTGAGTGTCTTCTGCAGGAAGTTCATGTAGTGTTTGACCCTGGTGACCAACACTGTAGTGTGAATTAGGCTCTACAGAAACTGCAGAAGGTCACCATGCTGTGAATGGAAGCCTATGTATCTACATCTTTTAAAATTTAAATTCCTTTCCTCTCAGGGGTGAGGTCCTTCCCACTATCTGTCTTATCCTATTTTTAATGACAACACGACTTCCAGGTGAGGGACAGGATGAGGTGATAATCTCCACTGATTGTTCTCTAACATTCTTTTGTCTGGTCTGTGACTTTTCACACCCCCTGCTGGTCTCACGATCCCTCGGGCTCAGTTCTGGCTAAGAACAACTTACTGCTTTAAAGACAATGTTAAAATCACTTTGTCCTTGAAAACACTGACAAAAACTGTTCTTCAAAAGTGGAATTCTGGGGATAATGATGTAACATGTTGGCCGTGCGGAGTGGAAAATATTTTCCTTGAAGCTTTTCTTGACTGGTAAATTAATCAGTACAGATCAAGCCTATTTTTAAAACCTTTATTTGGTTTAATCCTTTATCAAACACACATTAACAAGACATATACAAAAGAAATAAAGATTAGCTAAAACAAACAATTATACTTCCGTGTTTCCGCCAGGACTTATTTAAGCAGCACCATTTTAGACGTGACACTGCTGTTAAGCCATGTTCCATTTAGTAACAGGGCATTTCATCACATCATGACTGATAACAATAATAACATTTTTCACATATACTGTCTATTATTGTCAGCCATTGTTTCTGACTTGGTGCTTTACTTTAATCCAGTTCTTAGTGAAGGCCTTTTCATGTTCCAATCACTAGGAGATTTTCGATCAGATACTGAGCTCCAAAAAACATGTTAACTTCTAGAAATATAAAGTATAGTAAGAGACAAAGGTAGGAGACGTCATCGGCTTTTTGAAACTCAAGTCAGTCAGTTGCCTTCCTCTAAAAACATAAGGATAAACAGCTGCTTTAAAGTATCAGAAATCAGACGTTTAGTCAACTTCTCTAGCTCAGAAAGTCTCTTAACAGCTGTCCAAGTCAGTTGTTCTTATGTGATGTGCATTTCTGCTGCTGTTTACTCTCTGTGCTGTTAAGAAGCCCTAAAGTTAATGTTCTGTAGTGTCTCCCAGTGAGAAAGTGATAGAAATCAGTGGGGCTTCAGTGTGACTCAGGCTGCAGCCGCTGTGTTTTTCTCATGGTATTGGTATTACCTTCTGTCAGTTCCTCTCCACACTGATGTTCACATGTTCCTGTGCAGTCGTCCACATCCCACAGTCACAGAGTCATGGACGCAAACAGGGATTTTGACCTCCTCTCCATCCATGTCTTTTTATTTTCCATCTTATGAGACCGTTTTTCAATTCCTAGACAGCCTCACTACCTGCAAAACTTTACCACCAAAACTCTAGTCAGCTGTTCTCACGTTCTCTCTGTTTTCTCCTCACAGTGTCATCCTGCAGCCGTGTCCTCATGCCCTGCCCCATGAGTGCTGCTTGGCCTGCTGAGCCTAGAGGAGCTGCTGCGTTTGTACTGGGCTACAGGCACTAAGGTAGCGGCGGGTCATCAGAGGGACCCCAAACCAGGAAAGCAGGCGGAGGGGCCTGTTTTGTCGCAGCCAGACAAAGATGAACAAACTGAACTTCCACAACAACAAAGCCATGCAGGACCGTCGCTGTGTTTGTGTTTTTCTGCCCAATGATGACACTCTCAACGTCATAGTCAATGTAAGTGAACGGATCACTTTGCCTATTGTTGCTGAACTTGAAATGTTAGCATTAGACAGGATTATATTAAGTTATATTTGTGGATTTGTGTGAACCTTAAGTTTAACATACCTACTGCAAAGGCATATGATACCTTAGTGTACAAGCACAGAAAATCTGTCAGAATCTGTGGATTAAATGGCAGCCATTTCTCTCTCACTAATTTTGTTTTTGACATCAAGGAACCTTCATTTTTATAAAAGTAGTGTACCGTTCCTTTAAGATTAGGATATGGTAGAAGAAATAAATGAACACAAAAGCAGTAAATGCAGCCTTTCCCTCAGTATCAGTCAATCACTTTGAGCAGTGAAAAGCCTTTACATGTTGGTTTAAAGAGGAAGAAACATAAAAATTTGAATAATCTGTTTCGATTTTTTTCCGCCTTTAGTTAATTCCTCAACTAACCCCAAATAAGGAGTTTAGATAAATCCTTCTTTTGGATCTTAAAATGTCATAATCAAGTGAAGTTCTTCATCCCCTGACTTTAAGTACTATACAAATACTGCCTTTCATTCCATCCTCGAATAAATCTCTGAAGAAAAATGAACTGCTGCTCTCATTCATTTAATAAATACATCATCTGCTGTTTCCTGCTGTGTCCAAAAGATGGGGTGAACATGGGGTGGATGTGTTTGTCATTGCATGTGTCAGAGGGAGTCAACCATGTGTAGCACACATGTGCAGCCAGTGCTCACAGCATGTTAGTGTAGCTGTTGTGTGATTGTGTTTATGTTAAAAGAGATGCGATCGTCTAGAAGTAAATGTAAACCGTCCTCCTTTCTTCTCTTCCTTTGAACTTCACAGGTGAAGACTCTGTGCCAAGAACTGTTGGTCCAGGTGTGTGACCTCCTGAGGCTGAAGGACTGCCACCTATTTGGTCTCAGCGTCATTCAAAGTAAGAAATTAGTCTTAAAGGAATAGTACAGATTTTTTCATGAAACATGCTCAAATAAATCTCATGGAAATATGACTGCTTGAAAGACAAGAGACAAAAGGGGACACTTTTTTAAAGCAGCAGGTTAATTGGATATGTTTTAGAAACTAAAATGGGACCTTTAACATCAAAGTCCATAGACAAAACTTGATTTGAGTTCGAAGGTATACAGGAGATTTATTGGATGAAGTAATCCTGTGTGCCCTGATGTAAAATCAATGATATTTCCTATGGAGTTTGGTGGAGAGAGATGAGCAGTTGGCAGGTTTGGAAGATTTTTACAAGATTATGAAAAATTTCTTGTCTTAGCTTTTCATTTTTTTTACATTAATCAAATTGGTCCTTGGCATTTAACAAATGAGGAGTACTAGAGCCATTGGCTGATTTTTATTTTGCTTAGTGTTAGGTTTTTAATTCAGTTGTCCTGTGATCTTCATTTAACCTCTAGGCCACAGTTGGCCCTAATTCACTTGAGTCATGTGGCATTGTGGTTTAATTTCACTTTCGTCAATCTTTGTAGACGATACAGTCGAGCATTTTTCCCAGCCTTTAACTCCTGTCCAAAGGCACAAGGGTGGTGTAAAGGCCGAACACCACGGTTACACCACTGCAACACAATCTCTGTATAAAAGGTCCTTTTTATTTCCCAGTGATTTGACAAGTGCCTGTAGTTGCACTTGTGGTGTGAACCCATTCATCAAGAGGAACATGTAAAAAGGTGTAGCCCGGCTGTTACTTTCCACAGACCAATAACTTGGCAGAGAACCCAAGATCTGTCAAATGTAGCATCTCTCACCTATCTGTCATGTCGGTTTCTCAGGAACCAGGACTACCTTGTCCTGACTGGTCCCCGTTGTACCATCAGTCTCAAGCTGTTTTTACTGCCGCAAGGACTGGGCAAGGGTTGGACTGAGTCACCGTGTCGGACCCACGGATTGGCCAGATAGTGGGTTGACAGTTGTGGGCAACTGTTAGGAGAGAGTAAATTGTAAAGGCAGTGTTTTGTCAGACAGCTGGCTTCCCGGTGAGCCAATGGCGACCCAGCGGGTCAGTTGAGCAGGAGCCAGTGGGTCTGATGGTGGGACATTCCTGAAGTGCTTGTCTGAACAGCGTGAAATCCCCAAGGCAAACAGAGGCCACCCACTCCCTGTGTGTCACCCACTGTCCTCCCTGAGCACAGTGTCATCCAGACATCTGTTTCCTCACTGTTTGGAAGGAAGAGAGTCAAAACAGCACATTTTGCATTTCAAAGTCACATGGAGCCAATCAAACATGCCTATACACACAGTGACGTTGTTTTCTCTGTGACCAGGTTAGTTTTTGCAAACGAGCCTCCGTTTCATTGTCCAAGAAAGGTCACGCTTTTGCAGCAAAGCCAGTAGAAATCTGCGCTCCACCCTGTTGGTCCTTGTACTGTTAAGTTATCATATCTCTCTTAAGAGATACTTTAATGAGTAGCTGTGGCTCCATGTATGCGTTCCACCCAGTAACCCAGGGGTTTCCAACAAGTTATCATATCTCTCTTAAGCAGAGATACTTTAATGAGTATCTGTGGCTCCATGTATGCATTCCACCCAGTAACCCAGGGGTTTCCAACCTTTTTTGGGTTTTCAGGCAACCCCATTTAAATTCCAGGTGACCCCACATGGGTTGAGACCCTAAGGTTGAAAAACATTGTAGTTACACTGATGATGGACCAGCTCATGATGCTGTTTTTTAAATGACGTCTATTCAGTCTGTTTACTCTTGATCATATACAAGTCATTTCACTTCACTATTGTCACCTCATGAAACCTGTTTCATCATGAGAATAGTTCATAGTTGGTGCCCCGCAGCACTCAGGGTTTGTTTCATTTTTCATCATGCTCACATTTTTCTCAAAATATCAAATGACATCTATTCACAGTTCATAATTAACCTCTTATACATCAGTAATCTGTAAACAGATCACAGAGCTGCTGATGCAAAATGACATGAATAAAACATGAAGAAAATGTGAATGATCTAATCCTGAAAAATCCCAATCTTACTTACATTTGTTCCAGTGTTTAATTGAAAAAAATGTGGATCTCAGCAGAATATTTCTGGAGTGATTCTCCAGACCAAATATCTTTGCCTTCAGCTGCACTGGGATGGAAACGGCATTTTAAACTGCAAAGATGTCAGATTATCACCAAATACCTTTGTCACTGCTGTAATTCCTCGATGCCAAAAGTTCTTGTTACCATCCTGCACAAAACGTGTCTTAGGATTGAAAATATGAGAGCTGTCTCCGCCAGAGAAGCTCAGCTCAGGCTCTGTGTCATCTCAGATTTCCATTTCATTAAAGACTCTTTAAAGAGTTGTCAGCTCAGCAGGCGGCAGCTCATGAAAGATGTCACTTCAGAAGCAGATTAGGACATGAAAGAGTGAGGTGAAGAAATGAGATGGAAAATCAGTGGCCTAGAGTTCAGAGAGAAGTGCAGCGACTCCGTCTTTGAAACCCAGGCTTACAACGGAGCTCATTTACAGGGAGGGGGACGGGGGGTATGTTAACTCGAACGTCCACAGAGACGGGTCTGAACCTGTCTATCTCTTCCTCCTGACAGACAATGAACACATCTACATGGAGCTGGATCAGAAACTCTCCAAATACTGTCCCAAAGAATGGAAGAGAGAAGCCAGCAAGGTGAGACATCACAGAGTTTTTCAAATTGTGCTGTGAAAATGTGAAATTAGATACCAAACTACAACTTTTGTGTTGAAACTAAAATCCACCTGCACCTCTCAACTTATCGACAGTAAAATAATTTAATTTAGAAATATATCCCATGTCAAATACTCATAAGATCAAGTGAAATAAACTCAGATTGATGCAAGAGATGGATCGATCTGATGCTCAGGATCAGTCTGATATTACTCAACATTTGAGAATCAAATAAAAAAAGTTTTAATTTAGATTATTCTTATATTTTATTTATTTATATATCTAGTTTATATTTTTACTAATAATTGATAAAAATATTTTTAAAGGTGAGATTTATGTTTTGTTAAGTTTTCTATTACACATGAATATAAAAATAAATATTTCAAAGCAAAACTGTTACTACACTTGTTTGTTAAGTCATCCTTCTGAATTCCTTTAGCCTCACTGACATTATTCTGTACTTTAACAATTCATAAGAAAACAGCCTGAGTCTAGTCCCACATCTGGCTTCTTCTTGGTGACCACAGTGCACCAGGAAGTAACACTGTCTGGATGTAGTTTACCATCAGACAGTCACCGTCCACAGTCACTCCTACACTGACCACAAATTGTTGTTTTCACATTTATTCTTTGTGTTTGAGTCGGCTCTGCAGGCTGACTTTTTAAGCTAATGCTAAGGTTAGCCAGGGTCAGTGTTTTTGTTTACTGCTGTGTTTCATTATGCTATAATAGGCTAATCTACATATTCCAAACTCTTTTTTTTCATAACCCCCAGTTATGTAATATATTTAATAGCTCTTTAAGCAGTTTATAATCTGTGATTTGTTATGAAAGTGATATTTTAACTATAAAAAAAACCAAAATTGTGTGTTTGATTTACAGTAAATCTGTGACTTGACCTTTTAATACATTTTATTTACCTCCTCAGCGCTGATACTCAGTGTGTTTGTGTCTGGACTTAGTGATGGTCTGTAATTGTAAATAAAACCAGTACTTGACTTGTTTTCTTGCAGGGAATCGACCAGTTTGGACCGCCTATGATCATTCACTTCAGAGCTCAGTATTATGTGGAGAACGGAAGGTTGATCAGGTGAGTGAAGCCTCAGATTTACTGACTATTTTAAATGATGTTACTTATTTAACTCATCAAAATAATGTCTACTGACATTTAAGAAGTTTGAGCTGCCAAAGTTATTGGGATAATAATGAGTCAAAACTAAGAACTTTTACTTTACTGACATGACATAATGAGTCAAAACTAAGAACTTTTACCAACACAGTTTTTTAACTTGAGCCACTCAGTGGAATTAGAGAAACGTTGTACCACAACAAACGTAGAGTGTGAACGTCTAATGTGAAACTGCAGACCAAATCCCCGGCCTAATTGCGTTCTCCGTCTTCTCTGTAGTGACAGAGTTGCCAGGTACTACTACTACTGGCACCTGAGGAAACAGCTGCTGCTCTCTCAGTGCATCCAAAGAGAGGAGGCCTACTTCCTCCTGGCGGCGTTTGCCCTGCAGGCAGACCTGGGCAACTTCAAACGCAACAAGCACTTTGGGAAATACTTTGAACCTGAGGCCTACTTCCCTCCGTGGGTGAGTTTTTCTCCCGTCTGTGGTGTCCTATAGACAGACATGATTACAGGTGACTCACGTGTTCCTACACTTTTCCTGTTGTTTACGACTGTTCCCTGTGGCTCCTCCCTCGTAGCACCTGATCACATCCTGCTGTAATCCAAACAAAACCTGCACAGATGATCTTAGTAAAAACAATGCACCTGTTTATTTAACACAGCGAAAGGTTGTTGAGTTCTTGTCTGGGAGGCACAGCTGACGCCAGTCATTTTTGTATTCAGAAATTACTTTTAAAGAAACTGCTGCTTCTTACTTACATAATTTAAATTATTTTTATTGTAATTTTTCAGCTTTTTCTGAAACATTAAACAGATAAGGACGTTTTAAAAAAAAATTTAATTGGTCATTGTTTAATCTGTAACTTAAAGTAAAAACAGGAAACTGCCACTAAAAGGTTTTTGAAAACTCTTATATTTAGATGTAAAGTTTTTTGGGTTTTTTTATCACAGCATCATTGTCTACAAAAGATAAAAAAACTACAGTTATAGTTGCTCGTTTTGTTGACAAGATCCTTTCTGTGGTCAATATCTTTGAGCTCTAAAATCCTGGCTGGAAAAGAGCAGCTGTGACCTGCTGTGTCCCCGTAGCTGAAAACCTCCACAGTCAAGGTGTTTTCACGTGTCCTGGCCTACGGCAGGTACAGTCAGAGCGTCTGTAGCCACCTGTCGTTAATCACACTGAACAAAAGAACAACGTATCTGCATCTAAGTGTGTTACGATCACATCTGGGACAACACGTTTATTTTCGTCCCCAGCAGTGACACAAACACACACACTGGCCTCCATCCACGTCTCCTCCCCTGTCACATTATTTCTCTGTCATGCTTGTCTTAGCCACACCCCTCTGATTGCTCTGCACTTCCTGTGATTAGCCTCCTGCCCTCCTTATCGCCACCGTTAACCAGCCTTGACAGGAAATGGACGGGGAGAGCTGCTGCCGAGCAGTAAATCCTCTGAAAGATTGAGGTTCTTAGAAAACTCACGTCACAGAAAACTGTGAAAAACCGAGAAATGAAGTTTCCAGCCCGTGTTTCTGGCGGAGCCTCGTCAGGAGCTGACATCTGGTCGCCCCGCAGCAGACAGGAAGCCTCGTTATCCTCATTGGCGACGTGTGCTGCCACTCCCCTGCAGACAGTCCAGACGTTTAAGTCGAGAAAGCTGGATTATATTTAACACCGTGGCTTTCAGTTTGATGCGGACTCCCTTACCTCCTGTTACTGTCTTACTTCTGACTTCCTGTTAGACATAGACCTAAAAAAAGACCTAAAGATGGATGGTGATGGTGGATGAAACACCACATGCCTTCACTGGAAAAACTCCTCACAATTTTCAGAATGGTACATCAGCATTTGGTAACTGAGGAGTCATGGGAATTTTTTCTGGATGCGTCCAGACCAGGGAGGAAGGTTCCATTTCTAATAACATAAATATGAAATGAAAGCAAAGATCTTAAAGCAGGGCCTCCCCCATTTTTTCGCCTTCGGAACTACTTTTCAAATGACCAGGCTGAAGTGATCAGCCTACGTTGGAAATGTATATATTACATGTATTTTCTCATACAAACTGAACATACTTTATTTATACTTTATTATTATACTTTATTTATTTGTTTAAGTATATGTTTTGGCCACTGGTTAAATTCATGTAGCTGAATGATAAAATATGATTCAGTCCTTACAGTATATAGTTACTACTGCACACTACAGAAATATATTTTCAATTGCTCACAATCTTCCAAAATGTGGGGCCTACTTGTAGATTGCAATCCACATATTGGGCGCCTCTGTCTTAAAGCTTTCTACTTCAATACCAATTAAGATTCTGCTTTGACTTATAATAGGAAGGTGCTGTGTTATAAAGAACATTTTTAAAAACTCACCACAGGAATAATGGAACATTTCTACTAGAATAGAAGAGCATAGAATAGAATTGAATGAACCGTCATCGTCCAGGTTGGAAAATTACTTTGACTCTAGTTACACTCAAAGGCCTGGGGTAAAAACGCCCTCTCTTGTGTTCTCCAGGTGATCGCCAAACGTGGTCGTGACTACATCCTGAGGCACATCCCCAACATGCACAAGGACCAGTTTGCTCTCACGGCCTCAGAAGCTCATCTAAAATACATTAAAGAGTGTGCCCAGCTCGATGATGTCACTGTGCACTACTACAGACTCTACAAGGTGAGTGGGACTGACACTGTGACGCCGACACTGGGTGTTTTTGTACTGCAGCTGCTTTGACTTTGTATCTATAGCAGTTTTCTGGTGTTTAACTTCGAGGGGACGTGTGTAATGTAAAAATCGACTTGTTCAGTGTTTGGTACTGTATTTGTAGTCGAGTGTCGTCTGTATCTGAGATTGACGTTGACAGACTTTGGTTGTGTTTAAATGCTACGTTTGACTCTGTGTGGTCTGGACCGCATTTATGTTATTGTCCTGCAATCGAACCACAGTGTTTACTGTGTTCTCCACACAGAGCTCTTCAACGACTCACAGTTATAATGTGCCAACACTTTTATGAGTTCCACTGAGATCTTAAAGCAGGGCCTCCCCCATTTTTTCGCCTTCGGAACTACTTTTCAAATGACCAGGCTGAAGTGATCAGCCTACGTTGGAAATGTATATATTACATGTATTTTCTCATACAAACTGAACATACTTTATTTATACTTTATTATTATACTTTATTTATTTGTTTAAGTATATGTTTTGGCCACTGGTTAAATTCATGTAGCTGAATGATAAAATATGATTCAGTCCTTACAGTATATAGTTACTACTGCACACTACAGAAATATATTTTCAATTGCTCACAATCTTCCAAAATGTGGGGCCTACTTGTAGATTGCAATCCACATATTGGGCGCCTCTGTCTTAAAGCTTTCTACTTCAATACCAATTAAGATTCTGCTTTGACTTATAATAGGAAGGTGCTGTGTTATAAAGAACATTTTTAAAAACTCACCACAGGAATAATGGAACATTTCTACTAGAATAGAAGAGCATAGAATAGAATTGAATGAACCTTCATCGTCCAGGTTGGAAAATTACTTCGACTCTAGTTACACTCAAAGGCCTGGGGTAAAAACGCCCTCTCTTGTGTTCTCCAGGTGATCGCCAAACGTGGTCGTGACTACATCCTGAGGCACATCCCCAACATGCACAAGGACCAGTTTGCTCTCACGGCCTCAGAAGCTCATCTAAAATACATTAAAGAGTGTGCCCAGCTCGATGATGTCACTGTGCACTACTACAGACTCTACAAGGTGAGTGGGACTGACACTGTGACGCCGACACTGGGTGTTTTTGTACTGCAGCTGCTTTGACTTTGTATCTATAGCAGTTTTCTGGTGTTTAACTTCGAGGGGACGTGTGTAATGTAAAAATCGACTTGTTCAGTGTTTGGTACTGTATTTGTAGTCGAGTGTCGTCTGTATCTGAGATTGATGTTGACAGACTTTGGTTGTGTTTAAATGCTACGTTTGACTCTGTGTGGTCTGGACCGCATTTATGTTATTGTCCTGCAATCGAACCACAGTGTTTACTGTGTTCTCCACACAGAGCTCTTCAACGACTCACAGTTATAATGTGCCCACACTTTTATGAGTTCCACTGTAGACTGTAGACAGGACAGGGATCAACAGAGCAACATTAGGAAAAGCTCCAAATTATAAAATTATGAATCTTCAGTTGTACTGCAGCAAAAATCAGCTTCCCCCATGAGTCATGTGACTTTACAAGTCTGTCGTGATTTCTGAGTTTGGTCTGTGTTCACAGGACAAGAAGGAAGTCGAAGCCTCTCTGACGTTGGGACTGACTTTACGCGGGATTCAAATATTCCAGGTACGGTTTCTGTCACTTTGATTGAATTAATTCTTATAATTTTTTTTGGTTTAGTTTTTTTGATTTTAGCTAAAAATCTACTATTAGCATTATGTGACACTAAAGTCCACAGATCGAGCCCCACCTAAAGGTAAATTCACTTCAATTTGAAGCTAAAATGTCAAGAACGTGTCTGCCCACTCTTGATAGTTATTGTGAGTCCATGTCCTCAGAGTACTTAATAGCACAAGACCAAATATTTTCTCCGATGTCATAAAAGATCTAAAAGGAGATGTGAACTGTTGATTAATTGTAACAGTTGATGTGTTTAAAGGAGCGCCTCTCCCACGTTTGACTCTTTCTGTCACTGCCTCTGTGTTGCAGAACGTGGGCTCCGTCAGGCAGCTGTTGTACGACTTCCCCTGGACGAATGTGGGCAAACTGGTGTTTGTGGTGAGTTTTTTTAAGACTACACTCAGACATTTTTATGCCACACATATAGGTTTAAGAAACAAATCAAACATAATGAGATCCAAACTGATAAAATCCCGGCTCCTGCTCAGGGTTCGGGGAATGTTTTCCACACAAGCCTTCTTTTCTGCACACTGCTGATTTATCTCAGCTTTGGAAATTCTCTGGAACAAATCAGAGACTTAGAAAGACACACACACAGAAAGTATTTTTATGCAGTCAGCAGTGGTATTTTCTCTCCTATGATTTACATGCTTCTTGATTCATCTCTGTCATTAATTATCTCTGCGCTGATTCAAAGCTTAACCTGTTGTATCTTCTCATCTCGGCCCTGAGTCAGTCTGGCTCTGACACAGACACGGCAGTCTGTCATTTAGGGAAGCTTCCAGATGATGTGTTTCTGACCAGTAGCTGAAGTTAGTCATATGTTTGACTCAAGAAAAAAAGCATTTATTGCAAATTACTGAATTATATTGTCGTTCAAAGTCTTGAGACAATTTCGTGTTAGTAGAATATTTTTGTTTTTGCACTTGTTTAGGACCAAGACCAGGATTTAGAATTTGCTGTTAATGCTCGCTGCCTCAGACCTGTTTTGCTGTTTTGTTTAGCACGGTGACAATGAGGCAGCGCTGGCGTGGCTGAGGTCCCACTGTGGGCTTGCAGGGCCTCTCGTGGCCACGTCCCACCCTTCTCTTGAATAACAGGCTTTCTCCTCCACCCCACCCGCCGGTCACGTCATCTAACTCCACTGCAGCCAGCACCGGCCCAGTGAGCCGGAGAGAGGGCGGAGGGAGGGACGTGCGGGTCAATAAACACCAGATGTTGCAAAAATCTTATAGGATATTTTGGAATCAGGGTTTTCTTGGCGGCGATGACTTGAGTTTGTCCACGTCAGAGTAAGGAGGGGTCTGTTTTTGGAAATGATAAGACAATAGGACAAAACAAAGGCACTCTTGTGTGTTTTGAGAGTTTCTTTGAAAAACGTCTCCTTGGTGACGCAGCTCGTTTTCCAGTGTGTGTGGCCTGACCATGTTGTCCAGCTGTCTTCAGTAACAGGCCCATCATGTGTGTTCGGCATGTAACAGGAAACTTTCCTGAGTGGTTTCTGAACACCGCTCCATAATCTGCTGGGCATTGGTCTGCAGCCGCCGTCTGTCTTTCCCTGCAGAGTTGTCTCACTGCCAGCAGGGGAGCAGCTGATTCAGTATGTGTGGTTATCTTCGCCTCCATTTACTTAATCATTAATAAATAATAAAGTTGGTTGAAACAGCACACCAACACTGATGACACTTAATTAAAAACATTCACTCAGTTCATATCTGAAAGTATTTATTATCAGCGTTGAAGCTAATTAATCTGTTTGCCGCTTGTTCCCACCAGAAGACACTTTCTTCTGGTGGGAACAAGCGGCAGACAGATTAGACTGGCTTTACTTTCTCCTAAGTACTAAGTTCACAGACAAAACTGACAGTTTTAGCTGGTGGTTACATGGGAGTTGCCCCTCTGCTGCTGCCACTGCTGCTACTATGGATTTAGCTTATATTCTGGATCTGTTTATTATTGTTTTTTAACAAATGTTTTACCTCTGTGGATCAGCTTTTCTTCTGCTGATTTAATAAATCTGCGTACAGAAAGCTGTGGGTCGTGTTTCTTCAAAGCTGTGTGGTTCACGTTTACTTATGTTTGCTACAAATGTGAGGATAATATTTCATGCAGTGAATAAAAACTCTAAAATAGAGAGTATTTGTTTGACATGGCTGCAGCTCTAAAATAGAGTATTTGTTTGACATGGCTGCAGCTTCACAGAAGAAGCATTTAAAACTGCTGCCCAGTTTGACATGCTTGTATCACTGGTGGCCACTTGGAGCAGCAGAGAGTCAGTTTGAGGTTAAAGAAAAACACTTCACTTGCAAAAAAGGGAAATATTTCTCCTTAATTTTCCCACACAGAGTTTGTTTCCTGCCAGTCCACAGTTTGACCAGGAAATCATTTTGCCTGATGGAGAATTTTTGGCCACAGATAGTATTTTTTTTTTTTACATTTATGGGAAAAGCCAGTGTCAGTTACTTTTTATGAACTTGCTTCCCAAGAGTTGAAAAAACAGGAAGCCTTTCAAGTCCTCTCCTACGTTTGTGCAGACTTTCAGCATACTTTGCATCAGCTGTATTAATGAAATGGGAGCTGGGTGCTGTGGTCAGAAATGTGCAGCAGTTTGCATTTTCACGCTCTTTAAACCCACCCGTCGTGTTTTTTGTTCCGAGCCAGAACCCTTGCAGAATGTTTATGGGTCCGCTGTTCTGCAAACAACCTCGCTGACACTGAAGACAGCTGTGATTCGTTGCAGCTTCTGCCAAACGAAAATGGTTAAAGCACCAAACCGCCATTTTAGATTTTCCATGTCTTGGTCCAACATGTCCTCTCTTTTTGGACCACCTTCAGAACAGCTCCTAACGCTCCGTTTCTGGATCTGAGTGAAGAAATGAGAAACAGAGATTTGAACTCGCTGTTGCTCTGTGTTTGCATAAGAAATATTTTTCCAGAGCTGACTTTGTTCTCCCTCTGAGGTTCCTCACTCTGGCGTCATTTCAAATCCACATTCCTGTTTCAGAAACTTCTGTTATTATCTGCTGTGAATCACCCACAGTCTCTCTGTATTCAACGTCCACATTCTCCTTCTCAGGGGAAGAAGTTTGAAATCCTCCCCGATGGACTCCCCTCGGCTCGTAAACTCATCTACTACACCGGGTGTCCCACCCGCTCCCGTCACCTCCTGCAGCTGCTCAGCAACAGCCACCGACTCTACATGAACCTGCAGCCCGTGCTCAAACAAGTCCGACGGCTGGAGGAGAACGAGGGTGAGTGGCAGCTCTGAGTCTCATACACCAAAACCAACCAGTGTTAGGGGAGAGTGTGCAGGAATATTGGCTTCATTATTGATCTGACTGATCTTGTCTTTTCGTTTTGCTTTTAAATCTCTGTCTCTGCGTGTGGAGGCTGGTGCTCCAACTACGTTTTATACAATTACCTTTGAATTATATTTAAATTGAGATATATCCAAGAGTGAGATGTGGAAGAACACCAGTTTGCTGGTTCAATTCCCAGTCTCTTGCCTGTGTGTGTGTGTGTGTGTGTGGAGGTTTTCTCCAGGTATAGTTACCTCCCACATGGAGCATTAGATTGATTATTCACCCTGTATGGACCAAAGGTGTGAATGTTAGTGTGAATGACTGGCCTCTGTGTTTGACCCTGTGAAGGATTGGAGAAAAGTTTCGGGTGTAATGGCGCCCTCAGCTGATAATTACTGGGATTAATTCAAGTGACAAAATTACATTTTTTAAAAAGAATTATGGAAATTTATGATGTCATGTTACGATATGAATGATGTTGGATAAACACTGTTTCCATATAGAAAAAATAACTTGTGTCTGTGTTTGTGTGATTCCAGAGAAGAAGCAGTACAGAGAGTCATACATCAGCGATGCTCTAGAACTGGACATGGATCACCTGGACAAGCGTTCCCGGGCCAGTGGCAGCAGTGCAGGCAGCGTCTCTCACCAGAAACGTCTGTCCCGTCACTCCACCACCAGCCACGGCAGCTCACACACCTCCGGCATCGAGACGGACAGCTTCAGAGCCCCAGGTCAGGCCCCGCACCGACCGTTGAGAACCTGCAGCTCCTCCACAACCAGCCACGGGAGCTCACACACATCTGGTATCGAGAGCAGCGGCAAGGAACGTGTTCTGGACGATGACGGTGAGTCAGAGAAGGTGGAACCGAGTCGGGTTTTTGGTGATAAAATAACACAGTGTTTGTTCCTGCAGAGATTGAGATGCTGGTGGACGACCCCAAAGATTATGAAGAGCTTCATGAGATGGTTCTAGACCAGGAGTTGTGCATCCACATCACAGAGGACATGTTGACCATGTCTCCTGATCAGACTAACGGATACTCTGGTACGGATTCTTCTGTTTTACTGCTAAAACCCTGAAATACAACAATAATTCATTGTCTTTCAGTTGAGACCATGAAGAGTTTGGGATCTGGCTCTCAGAATGTAAATAATAAATGGACGTTGTCATCGCACTGCCAAAGTGTAACGACAGATGTAGCAGAGAAATACTCGCTGTTTGTAGAAATACAGTAACTGAATAAATGGAAGACGGTGGAAAAAAAAATTGGGAAATTGTTTCTCTCCGGAAGTGCTTGATATTGATTTTTTTTATATGAGACAGTTTAGGATAAATTAGATAATAAAGCATGGCACTTACGCGCAAACACCATCTGTAATTTACAGATTCATCCAGCGGAAGCCTGGTTTTCAGATGACTTCTGTACAAACATTATAAAATTGAATATTTACAGATAAAAAAAAAAAGTTTGTTTTTTCAAACATCTGTTCAGAAACACCCATTTCTTATGTTCTATGATCCTAGGGGGAAATAAACTCATGTGATCTGAGTAAAGCAGAGGGGCTACATTCAAAACACGTTTCAAGAAAGCAACAATAAAAACGACCAGGCAGAAAAAATTTAACATGAAATGAAATAAACATGTTTTTATTCCACAGTTCGGTCATAACTAAATCATGGTCATTGTGTCTTTTCAGGCCTGATAGTGAAAGACATCAGCTCCTCCACATCCAGCTCCTCTGAGACGGTGGTCAAAATGAGAGGACAGAGCATCGAGTCTCTGCCGCAGGTAATCCTGACTTCATGTCAGCGATTTGAAACATTTACACATCAAAAAACCTAAAAACCCTATAACACCTGTCATAGATACAGCTACAGTCAGCCTGTCAGCTGTAGACGTACTTACCGTCCTGTACCCAGTGAGGCCAATCTAGTCTAAGGTCTGAGTCCAGCCCGACTCTGACCTGAAGTTGAAAACCCCATACTAAAACACAGGATTCCACCTTAAAATGGTGTCGTTTTCTTCTTTCAGACATCAGTCTGCAGGAAGCCTGACTCCACTGACCGTCACAGCCAGTCTCTGGACGACATCCGGCTCTACCAGAAGGACTGTCTGCAGTGGGCGGAGCTTTGCCAGGACACGGCTCACAGCTACACGTTCGGCTGCGCCCAGGAGCTGAGCGACGGCGGCGGGTACCAGGGTGTGAGCGAGCAGCGCGCCGGTATGCTTGGTGACCAACACCCATTCCCCATCAAAAGAACCAACAAGTACTTCTCTTTGGACCTGACCAATGACGAGGTGCCCGAGTTTGTGGTGTGATGGACGCACGGGTGCCACAGAATGACCTTTTTCACTCCTCAGTGTCAGGCGTGGAGATATTTCAGCGCTCAGGGATGGAGACGACAGAGGAGTGTTGGAGAGACCGTTTCTATTCTCAGCAGCAAACAGAGAAGAAGACTTAACTGGCAACAAGTTGCTGCCTCTTCATTTGTCAATTTTGACAAATGAAACACAATAAAGGAACAAAAAGATTCTGACTGACAATATTTTTAAGAAAAAAAAAACTGTGGTTAAAATGTAACCAGTAACCAAAGCTTTTCGTCCTTGTGTAAAGGGAAACATAAAAAGGGAGTGTGTCCTGTTCCTGAGTGTCTGTGGGTCAGAGTCATAAACAGGTGACGAACATCTCTGTGGAGAAAACAAAAGGACTAAATCACTAGCAGCTACAAACCAAAGACAGAAAATGGAGAGTTTTGACTCCAGCCACAACTAAAACACATGGACGATGAAGATGGACCAGAGTCTTCAGAGAGAAGGTTCCTGTTCTTATGCCGCTTCACTGTAGCTTGCTGACTCGACAACGTGGACAGCGGGAGTAGAACTAGCCTCACAGACAGAAGGAAAAGTCGTGCAGAGCATGACGTGCAGAGAAGGCAACACAATTCACGGAGTTTTCAAGTTTTTGCTCTGCTTCCTGTCAGATTCTGCAGAGTCAGGTGCAGAGATTTTTGTGATAGAGTGAACGTTCCTGTCAAAGATTTCTCACCACACCTTCAGAAAACAACTTGGGAAAGTAGAAATGGAATGCACCTTAGGTGGCCCTCCTGTCTTAGACGGCCTGCCTAGGTTCCCAACACCATGGATTTCCAGGGAAGATTGTGCAAATATGTCCTCAGTCTAAGGTCTTTCTGGAAGCCTTTTTTTCACGTTATGCAGAAAAGTGCCTGAGTGCGTTGGTCAAAAGTGTTCTCTGGACGAGGATTCTTCCTGTACTTCCTGGTGGATTCTCCTCCTGAGCGTCTCTGTCCAGAGCCTGATGCCTGTAGTGGGAACGTTCTACCCCAGCACCTGGTACTGGCTACTGGAGAACAAATTGTGGGCTATGGGTTAGAGTTCTAAATCAGGTGATGAGACACTCCTTGTGCCTTCATCACACTATGCAGGTTCAAACTCCCCCCCCCCCGCCCCCCCTGCCTTGACAATCAGTCCAGCCTTGTCATGACGACATAAACCCCTAGAATTGAAAACTTCATCTCATGACCTGAGAGTTTCTCCATCAGCTCACGGCGTTCATTTCCTAACGTAAAAACTATTAATCAGAACTGTTTTTATTCCTCTCAAGTCTAACCGGTTGTCTCAGCGAGGAATGAGGTCGAGTCAGTTCCTACGTGTCCAGACTGGAGTCAGGTCTGTGGTCGCAGAAGTTTCCCCTCCCCTGAACCAGACTGGAGACAGATCCTGGGCTGGACTCCAGCCAAAACCACCCCTTCATTTGGATGCATGTTTACGTCTGTCTGTTCGTCTTCCAGTGTCGTTCCGTTTCTTATGTCTTCAGTTTTAAGAACAACTGGAATTTGTTACCTTCTCGTTTTTTCTACAATCCTTTCACACCTTTTTTTTTTAATTAAAGACTGACTGACTGTCTCATGTCCTTCAGTATTACCTTCCAGATCCAGGTGGCAGTATTAACCAGTGAGCGGCTCTGACAGACTGGTTTCATGATGTTTCATCTCACAGTCAGATTAAAGTGTAGCCTGTGGTCGCTCGCAGCTTCTCTCCCGCTCTCATTTTGCTCATATGTTACATATCAAATTTCAACACAATGCCACAGGTGTGAATAAAGAGGGGAGGAATTTGCAGGTTGAAACAGCAAAAGGCAGATTTTTTAAATTTCAAATTATGCAACCGCGCTTCACTTTTTAGCTTTAAACGCAGCCATTATGAGTTCTCTTAGCTTTCTGTGGGGTCACAACAGTAACGTTTACTCTAAGTTATTAGAAGACTTTTTTTTTGCCTTGATGCTAAGCTAATGACTGAGGTCATTTACTGTAATTATGACATAAACATTTGAGTTGCAGTGGTAAAAGAGACATGAAGTGGTTGGAAGTAAAATCAGTTAAAGTTGACCTGAAGGTTTTCTTCAACTGGTCCAATTTGTAGATTCAAAAATACAGGTACAGAGGCATTCATTTTAGACGGTAGTAAAACATTACTACCGTCGGGGCTAAAGTAAGTTGGCAACAGACCCCTCTTGCACAGTCACAGAGGCAACAACACGTTGGGAGAAAGCAGCATTTTCAGGGTTCTATATCCTGTATTCCTAAATATGTTACTTCACTGAGCAGAAGTGTTGTTTAGCTAGCTAACAGCTCTACATTTACTTTTTAAACCATCCTTTAGGGCTTTACTTTTTCAACCAGGTGGCGACATCCATTTGTCACATACTATGGCTGGTGTGCTCTGTATAAATGATCATTTAATAGTGTGTCAGAATGTCAGATGGGTGCATTTCACACAACACCGTGCCATTTCTTTCACCGTGTATTGTTTACACACTCATCAGCAGAACTAATTAAACAAAAACAAAAATGAGTAAATAAAAGTTGTGGTCAGCTGCCGAACAATGTTTTTTAAAGACTTATATTTGTGTTTCGTAACAAAACATGACTTTGTTAACGATACTGCTATTGTTACAAAACAAATCAACTTTACTTCTTACACTCGGTTTCTCTCACTGTGTTGAACTTGTATGTATTTCTACTCATTAATGTCTTAAGTCACTTTTTGATGGACAACGTTATTTTTTCTTATATTGAAACAGTATGTGTTGAGGTACATAGCCATACATTCATAACCCATGACCTTAAAGTCTTCATCTTACTTCTTGACTTCCATATATATATATATATAAACTGTATATGGTCAAACTTACACTCTGTGTAGTAAGAGGCTGTATGTCTGTGTCCATGATCCTTTCTGTGAAAGGATGACCGTTTCTGGAAAAAAAAAAGAATTTGTCACCTTGTAGTAAAAAAAAATGTTGTTATGATGAAGTCATGTCTGTGCCTTCCTGGTACTAACACCCACATTATTCAATAAAAGGTACATTTATCTACCAGACTTCTGCTGTTTTAAGTGTTTTGGAAGTATAAGGTGTAATTATGACACATAATAAAACAAGTTGAACACAGCTGCTAATTTATGGTACTAAATCCCAAAGAAATAAATATAATATAATAAAATATGTTTGTCTATATTGATTATAAGAATATGTTTTTACTAACACAAAGTAAGCTTAATATTTTTTTTCCAAAATTTTAAAAGTTGACCTGTTTATTGAAAGAAAACAAATGACAAATTATGTGAAAAATGTGTATGCAATTTGGTGTTTTGAGATGATGCTGCCCTCTAGTGGCAATAATTGTTACCAGCACTTTTTGAATATAGCTATTTACCTGAAATTATTCAGTTACCAAGGAAATTACCCTTTATACATATTATTTAATGTTTTTTTAATGTTTAATGTTTAATTTAATGTTCATCAATGTCAATTTCAACTTACCCAAACTTTCTCGTAAAAGTCATTGTCAAACAAGTAAGTAAAATTATTAGTAAAATTAAAAACCAGTTTTGAATTTTATTTGTCTCCACGGTATTTTTTTTATTTTAACTTGATTTTTTTAAAACCAGTTTCAATCTCCGATTGAGGTTTATCTGAGTTTCCGTGACGTGTGTTTGATTTATTTATTACTCACACAGTTCACCTTGCAGTAATCAAAGAAAGAATGAAGAAGAAATTGGCACACGGAATTCTCAAGTCACTCGAGTTCATGATTACCGTAAGGCACAAATAATTGTGCAGTAGAAAATAACTCGTAAATCTCACAGCGCGAACGCGATCGACCGAACGGTTGTTGATCGATTTATTGACGTGAGAACACCCTTAAGGTATGGCCGCACACACAAACATTAACACAACGATTACCTCATGAACAGTCACTTAGACTTTTGTTGTTGATATCTATCAAACGACGAAGTTTTTTGTCGAAAGTGTCACGAATGTTTATAAACATTGTTTTTAAGTATTCCTGCTAAATGCTAAGAAATGCTACATTGGGCCGGTTTTAGCGTTCGATTTTAAAATGACATGTTTAATTATACATGTATGTCATAAAATCACGAACATTTATTTTTATATTATCTCCTCACCGAAATATATATATATATATATATATATATATATATTAAAAACCTTCTTTTTCTTACATATCCCACGCCGTCGATTTTAAAATTAAAATAGTATCGGAATATTTATCATTTTTATAAGTAGTTATTGTTGTGAAAAATGTTTTAATAATTCTACTGAATTAAAATAAACAAAGTTTTTTTTTAATGTGAAAATAACTTGAATTATTCAACCCCCATTTTTCCCATATCACAGGAAGGCACACATATTCTTTCTAGGAATTAAAAAACGTTAATTAAAATGGAAAATTTTTAGCATATGAAAACAGTGTCAGAAAATCCAGGTCTTGTGTACAGTTTAAGAGAAAACATGGGTGCTCTCTCCCTTAGCTCCTCCTCCTTCCTCTGATAAGTCTTTCTCTCCATTTTCTCTGAGCTACACAGCTGTAAAGGAAATCAGTCATCCCACCATCCACTGCTGTCGCCATGGCAACACAGAGGGGGAAATCCATTCTCTTTCTGTCACCACCCCCTCTGTCTCCCTACACTTTCTGCTGTCTCAACATTGCCTTCTTAAGACTACTTTCACTGTTAATGATTCACACAAAAAATAGTTTAATAACCATTTAGGTTTTCAATCCTTGAAAACAGTTTATTTGTTTGTTCAAGACAAAGTCCATTGATGTTTGTACAAGGTTTGTAATGGTTTGAACATTACACCGTCTTGATTTTAAACATCCATGAACACAACATTAATGTGTGTGTGTTTTGTCAGTGATCATTCCGACATGCTAACTGTTTGAGAGTATTTGGTGACAGCACTGCTCCAACAGCACTGTCCCATGGGGCAGTGGGGCAGGACAGGCGGGGCCTGCTGAAGCCAGATGGTCACAAATCAGAAATGAAATCCTGTCCCTTCCCCCGCCTGTCATGATGACACCACCCAGTAGCACATATTAACAGTTAAAGTACAGCATCAGTCAAACATCCTGTCCTCTTTTCACCCAGAATCATCATTTCTCTGTCAAATCGATGTTTATTGTGGTCAGGATTTGACCTCAGCTCATAGTTGACCCCCGTCCCCCCACATCCCCTTTTTTGCAACAAAAGCCCATAAACCTCTATAGGAGTGCGGTTCCAATGCAGTTTCTACCAGTTAATGAAAACTTGCTGTAATAATCTCCCTGTATCTTCTATATCTTGAGCAGCCAAAAATAGGTCCATTTTTATGAGACCTAAAGTCTGAAAGGCACCACATCTGCCTTAGAGGTAGATTAATAGCCCTTAGTAAAGCAGCCTATTAACCAACACAGCTGCTCAGGCACCACAGGGTTCAGAGATGATCCCTGGAGCTGATAATAAAACATGATAATCAGATTACAAATAAACAGATTTCTGGATTAATCTCCACTCCGGTGATGGAGTATCACTGGAGGGATCCTACTGTCTCTATCGTCAGTAGATGTTCAACCATGCCATAACGTAGAACGAACGGAAAAACTTTTGCGGGTGGAGCAAGTCTTCTTCCTCCCAAATGATTGCTAATGCTTCTGGCCCAAACGATGTGTCCCCGGGTGAGATGATCAACCCCAAGGCCTCTGTTGTTCTGCTACTGAGACAGTTCAAATAAGGAGGTTTGGATCCATCCATCCTCTACGGCTTATTCCTTAGTACGCTTGTGGTAGACATTGGACCCCATTCCAACAGTCAACGGGTTCAGTTTGTGGATAAACCTAATTCCCTATTGAGCTTGGTTTGTGAAGCGATAAATGAAACATCATTATTTGTAAATTTTTTCTGCCCTTTCTAACAAAGATTAAAACTGTATGGAACTCAATCAGATTTGCGTACATTGTTTCTGCCCTTTCTAACAAAGAAAACTGTATGGAACTCAATCAGATTTGTTTTGTTGGAATGTTCCAACCTCTCTAGACTGAGAGTTATGTTGTGTTTTGGAAACACACACACACCCTGTGTAGTGAGTTCATCGTTGCGTGTACAGACGTCATCTTCACTGTCTTGTTTACTCTCCGACTCCCACACTCCCTCCTCCAGGTTTAACAGTTGGCAGTGAACTGTTGTGTTAGGTTTCACTGGAAAGCTAACGATTTAATGTACTGTATGAATAATTGATACCAAAGAGAGAACTGTTTAAAATGTTCTTCTGCCTGAAACATTTGTTCTAAATGACCAGTAGTAGATCTGATGCAGTCTTGTGGTCACATCAGTACCACACTGGTTTGGAGACACTTGTATATTGGTCTCACATCAGTGTGGTGTCCTAGTGACGGTGGCTTCCTGTTCAACTACCACAGAAACCATGACGCACTAATTCCCCGTCCTCTCCCTCCTCCTCCTCTTTCACTCTTCGTCTCTCTGTGGATCTGTACTGTGTCTCTCTGAACTGTTACTATAAGACTCCAGAGGATAGCACGTGCATGAATGGAGCAAAGGGAATGTAAAGACAAGGGATGTGGTATTAGCTTAGCAAAATTAGCTGCTTTTAATCATAGGTAAAATGAATGCCATGAGAAGTTAGGGATAAAAAAACTGGACCAATGTGAAGTAATCACTGTGAAAGAAATGTGTATGTTGAATGTTTGAATGTGTGTTTTCAACCCACTGGGACCAATACATTTGTCCTTTCTGTCATTAGACAATGTCTGGATTTGAAACAGTTTAAAATCCGTCCAAAATGAAAAACATTTAAACTTGGAGGCAGCAGTGGATTAACAAATTCTGTGTTTTTTTTAATAATCGCCACTTCTGCTTAAATGTCTTCTTCTGTTCCCTTTCTTTTTTTACTAAATGTGGTCATAATTTACTCAACAGACTGCTTATATTTTGTAGAAGACAAGAATCTAAAACTTAAGAACAAAGAAGTTTCTGCTTCTACATAAATTTCATCTTTTATTTTCTTTCTAAGACACCTCTGTAGGAACCAAGAATCAATATTATAAACACTGAAGACAAACCATTTTCCAAACAGTACGTTTAGTACATTTTGAGGTCTGAAACATTGACTCTGATTGAACAAATGATGCCATACAGTGCTTGAAACTATGAGTGCAAAAAAAGAAGAAAACCAAAGAAACAAATGACAGAACAGTGTCACTGTTTTGCCATACAGTGCTTGAAACGTGAGTGCAAAAAAAGAAGAAAACCAAAGTCTTCACAAGAGCAATTATGAATATTTAAAAAGAGGGAAATCCAGCTCATCCAGACTGTCAGACATCCTGGAATGCGTTTGTTTACCGTAGGTGTTCAGAGAGACAGTGTCGTCTTTTCCTGTGGCCCGCTGGGACCTGGGGCAAGTGTGTCCTTATAGCAAACATAAAAGATCGAGAAGACGGAGAGAAAGAAAGGAGGAGGGAGGGAGCAGGAGAGGAAGAGGAGGGAGAGGGAGAGGGTGGGTTTTCTTGGAGAAGCCAGAGCATTTGGCTGAAGGGTGGAGACTCAGAGCAGGAGTGAGGAGGGAGAGAGGCAGGGAGGATCTCAGCTGGAGCAGAGAGAAGAGAGAGCGGTGTGTGTCGCGTTTGGATCTAGGCGCCAGCTTTGCTGACTGATTGACGGACTGTGTGTGTGTTTGTGTGTGTGACAGATAGAGAGGAAATTGCGTGGAAACTACTCAGGGCTGGAGAGGTTCGGCATCACCGGAGGAGACGCACACGCACGCACCATAAAAGGTAGGATTGTCCTGTTACATTTTCTGGGGAGAGGGCAGATAACACTGAGTGTTTCGGGGTTTTTGTGGCATCTGGGTTAATTGCATCCAAAACAGGGTGTGTTCCAATGAAGGAGGGGGATTTTATGTCCACATTGTCATCTCGTCAATGCTTAAGGGCGAGAGATTGATGTTGCTGGCTGGTTTGCATCATGGAATCCCCCTCCTACGTGCAAAAATGAGTTTAAAAAAAAAAGGCTTTGTTATTATTTTCACTCAGCACCCTCGCATGTGTACATGTGTGGGGAATAAAAGAATGGGCAGCTTTCCTCCCATTCTCCTCTTCCACCCTCCCGCTCGTTCCCCTCAGGATTGGGCAGATCTTATAATGTGGAGCTGGAGGAATTAAGGGCATCTGTTTCTGAGGGATATTTACACAAGCGGAGACAATGAAAAAGCGCGTATGTGGCGTTCTGAAAGAGGACACGACAGACAGAGGTGGTGGCTTTGGTGGGAGGAAAAAAAATCCAGAGATGAAATCTACAACACTTGAGGTTTCCCAGCCATTCTCTACACTCCCACCACCCCCATAACATGAGGAGAACGCAGTTGACCACACACAAGCTCCATGTTTCAGCTCTATCAGGCAGATGGCTGAGAGATGAGGTGGAGAGGGAGGAGGAGGAATTGGTGGTGGGGGCGGTGGAGGAGGAAGATGAGGAGGGAGGAGATTGGTGTTTCTGTGTTGTTCAAAGACAGATACCATCCCTGACTCTGGCCTCTGTTCACCAGTGATACAAGAGGAACAAGATGTGCAGTTTTTTCGTGGGAGGGGGGATAGTGGGGGGGGGGTGTACGTTGTGATGCAAATACGTCTTCACGCTCAACCCCAACATAAAATCCTCCAATCACATGTTCCGGGTGGTGAGCTCCACAAACGCACACAGCAAGTCAGAATTACGCAACAGCTGACATCCAACTGTATCTCCAAGTCAGGCTGCTCCAAGGCCCCAGATTGCTTCACATACATCAAGGTTGAACTGTGGTTTACAAAGTGTCCAGTGGTGCTCACGAAAACATCACAAACCCTGAGAGTTTTCTGGAACACACAGGACACTCAGACAGCTACAGATAAATAGGCACAGAGGAGCAAAAGGCAGAATAAAATAATAATGGAAAAATCTGCCGAGCTCCAGCTTTTTATTGACCACATTGAAATCTCCACTCCCTCTGTAGTCCTCAACCAAAAGAATTCATCCAGCCCAGGCCAAAACGTTGGACTCTCTCCGAGGGCAGGGCTTACCTAAAGTACATTTCTGGCTGAAGTCGACTGAATATTAAACCTGAAGCCCTTTTCAAACTGTCTAATAAAAGCAGAGAGCTGTGAAGTGAAGGTAACAGGAGGGATGTTGTCGCATCAAAAGCCTCGACCTTTGTTCCCGCTGCTCCCGATCACTTCCAGCAGTGTTGATTTAAGGTTTTGAGTTTAATCAAGCATGGTATGTGTTTGTCAGGTCAGCAGCACACAGACCTAAGGCCTTTTGTGTGAAACCAAATTTAAATGTTTGGATCCAAATATTTCTGCATTCTAGTCTAAATAAGAAGCCAAGTCATTTCCTCATTTCAGTTTCTTCTCACATCTTATTCGCTGCTGAATTAAGTTTCCAGTGAAAAGGCCAGGGTTCAAATTCAGCTACATGCCTATGTGTCCCTGAGCACGATACCCTATTCAGATTGACCATAATCTTACAGCTATAGTTTTGGCTATAATCAAGATTCAAAGTGTTTTAATGTCATGTGACTCAATGAAGCATCTTTGTTATTTCGAATAATGAACTTGTTAATTTGTTGTCAGTCAAATCTAAGCTCAACAAATATATATAAAAATAAATCTGTCAGTCAAATCTAAGAGGCAGCTCAACAAATATATATAAAAATAAATTAAGGAAATCAGACGAGACCAGTAATTAAAATAAATACTTTATTACATACACTATAAACACAGCAGTACATTTTTTGAGAAACACAATAAAACATATATAAATGTATAAATAAAAAAATAAAAATATAATTAAAATTTAAACAGGTTAGAAACTCACTGTGCAGTAACATAATGTTGACTATATAAAACTAAAAAGACTAAATAAAATAAAAACAATAACGAACCAAAGAGCAACCAAAGAAGAAAGAACATGAGGAGTGACTTTTTTTTTTATGAAATAATTTTTCAATTTGAATTTAAATCTGAAGTCTGAGCCAAAACCAGTCTGGTCTTGTCCAGTCAGAATACATTAAATAATATTTAAATTTGAATTTAAATCTAAGCCAAAGCCAGTCTGGTCTTGTCCAGTCAGAATACAGAAAGGTCGATCAGCAGTGACCAAAACTGTGATTTAATTTATATTGTTGTAAATTTAAATAACAAATCTTATTACCGATCTAGTTGTAATTGGTGGCAGGAATCTCACCAGCTTCATTTTTAACATTAAAACATTACAAATATAAAAATTAAAATCCCAACAGTTGTTATTTTAGTCCTTGCCTCAGCACGGACCTGGTTCTGGTTCTGCGAATCAAATGCTCTCCTCTAACATGTTTGTTTCCTGAGCTCCAGCCCACCCAGGTCTCACTTCTGTGACTTTTGTCACTGAAATCTTGAGCTAAATCCTAGAAGAGTTCCTTCTGACATCTGTTGAACCCTGCTGAGACAGGTTTGTACCAGATCTGGTCCAAATATCCACCGACCTGTTTTGAGTGTTTTGGAACAGATGCAACCAAAGTCACGTCTTTTCCAGATAAGTGTCGAGTAAAGTCCTGAATAATACTGTCAAAATGCACGAGCTGAATGTTTTGGTGCCAGGACACCGATCCAAGGCTCAAGTTCTGTCCAAGTTATTCTCAAGCAACGTCCACGTAGCCTTCAGGCAGGTCAGAGATAAGGCAGAAACTGCTTTGAATGCAAGTCTTTTAAGGCCGTGTGTGCTGACCACACTCTGAGACGTCGTCCCTGAAGCTGATGCACGTTCATTACTTTTCAGCGAGTTAAAGCGAGGCAGAGTCCTCTCAGCTCTCAGAGGAGTGCGATGGCTTTCTGCAGAATCTAAACAAGCCCGGATGTTTGTGATATTGTTAACAGCCCAGGAGTCTGGCTCTGTTATTCTTGGCATGCTGATTGAATCCAGGAGGAAAACCATGTTTGCTCGCTGCAAAAAAGAAGTCCTGCAGATTCCTTGCTGCTGCAGCTCAGATACAGCAGGACAGACCCGTGCAGACAATATGTGGCAAAACTTATTGTATGTGACACCGGGCAGGAAGTGAGACCGATAAATTTGGCAGGAACATCAGCTCCCTTCAGATAAAATTTCCACAGTGGAAAAGAAGCGGCGCACAATGACTGGTTTCTTGCTGAAATGTGTGAGGGAATGCAGAACTGCCCTGACCAGGATTATTTGGCTGGTGTGAATTTTCCGTCCCGGTCTCAGAAAAGCACATGTGCGTTTTTCTGTAGCTGCTCCTGTGGCAGTAATTCTCTGCATTGTTTCTACCCCACTAACTCCACGGCTGTTCCATAACCCACATATCATCAAGGTTACATGCACACAAGACTTTAAACATTTGAGTGGAAAGAAAACGCAGCTTCAATCCAACAAAGAAGAAACATGCTGATCCCTGAGCGTTTGATTTAATAAACATAATAGAGCACATTTGGACTCCCCGGGGCAATAAGAGTCCTCCCTGCTGCCCGCTGCACTCCTGGGGGATGCATCATTTCCTGGGCCGCTGCCTCCTCCCTTCCCCCCCGCCTTCTGGGACCCAGATTAACCCTCAGCTATCTCTCTCTCGCTCACACACACACACACACACACACACTGTGAGCATAACATGCGTACACACCTATTTACAACACACCCTTTTAAAATGGCAGGCCGGGCCGGGCATGCTGGGGGTGGCACAGATGTCCGGGCTAATCGAAAGTTGGTGGGTGGCGGTGGTCCGACTGAGAGGCAGCAGCACAAGCTGAGAGCAAATACAAGCCACAAATGGCCGACTAAAAAGAGTGGATTATTCTGGTGAGGATGCAGGATTTTATTTTGATAGTTGACAGAAGCTGATTGGCTGACAATAAACGGGTTGTAGTTGACCTGACCCTACTGGGCAGATATGGCTCTTTTTTTTACCCGAAGGAGGGTTCAATGCCTGTCTCCTTAAAGCTACATGCCAATGTGTCCATGGGCAAGACACTCTTATGTTGCTGATTATCTTCATCAAATTAAAACTTGGTTATAGAAAAAAAATTATTATCACCTACTTGGAACGAAAATCAAAGCAAAAATAAAAAAGGTTCATTAGTAGAAATGTTTGGAAAAACGGTTGTTAGATTGTAAGTGTTCTTCACTCTAGGAGGGATGGATATACTGTAGACCATTGTTTCCCAGAGACTGGGTCGTGACCCAAGAGATTCTTTTTCTAATTGGAATTACAATGTCTGAAAGCAGTCCTTTCAAGAATAATAAATGCAACGAAAATACGTTCTTTGTTGTTGTTATTTTCTTATTATTCAAATTTCAAAATAAAAGGCAAAATCTTTTTTTTTAAACTTGGTGAAAGCCTCTGGTAACGCGTCACAAATGTAAGTAGAAGAACCACAATAGCAGCATTTTTTGTTTTTGCAATCATAACATTATTTCATGATAAGCAATTACAAATTTAATGAGAGCTTAATTTATTTATTTAAACTTTAAATTATTGTTGCTCCTATAGTCTACACTAGTTTTAATTTTAGAAATGCCATATACATTTCATCCTACACCGAACACAGATCATTAATAAGATGATAAATAATAATATATTTTTTGAGCAGTGTATGAGGATGACTCTGCTCTGTGCATGTGCTTCATGCAGTTATGGTGAGCTGTCACATCTACCGTCATCGTCCTCAGCTGATCACGACCTGACAGCTCAGCTCGCTGCGTGCTGTCTCTTTGTCTTTGTGTACACAGAGGGAGTGACGTCCTTTCTCTTATTCAAGGACGGGGATCTTCGATACCTTACGCTCAATAGTCAATATCTACAGTACCTGTTGACTATGTCCATTAATCGCTCCAGAGGCAGTTTCATGTTACCCCTGCTCACTGCGGTCGCCGTAACAAACCCTTGGTGGAGGAGAACATCGTCACTTTTATCTTCCTGCTTAAACCGTTTCCCTTCGTTTTCCTCCTGTCTGTTATTTTTATCTAGATCTGTTCATTCTCTGCTATCAATTTACAACTCTGTTAATCTTTGCTCATCTGAGCCTGCCCTTCACACTGCCTCTGCTGTCAGAGCTGTGTTTCAGAGAGTGTGCTTTCATTTCCAAAAGTTACACTGCCGTGACCCAGATCAGGCTGCGAACGATTGTTTTTGTATTTGAATAATCAATCATTTATGTCATTTGATCAAATTGGAGTCGATTAAACAATTATTTCAACAGTGGAAATGAGTAGAAAAAAAGTGAAAAAGACATTTAAACACCTCGTCCTTTTCCAGAAACAGCAGCGATAACAACCACAGTGGTGAGTATAAAAGTAAAAGGATAAATATGAAACATTTACATAGAAATAACGCTGGTGCAAAAGTATTAAAATATCTATAAATATATAGAAATAGCAAAAACAACATACTATCATAACTATGTATTTAGACATGTTGCAACACTTTTGGACATTTTCTGCCATTTTTACGATCCAGACGTCATGAGCAAAACACAAGCACAGAACCGATGAAAAACCAACAAAGCTTCTATTCTGGAAAATTGTCTTCGACTAATTGCCTTAACTGACTCGGATCAATGGGGGAATCCTTTCAGCTCTACTCAGATTACTGAGGTTGTCCCACAAATGTTCCTCTATATGTCGATGATTCCCAGACACAAGGGACTTTTTTAAATATCCCAAGGAATTTGTGCGTTTGTGTTCTTTTCCTGTATTGTTTTTTTAAACTTTATTCATAAAAACACAGAGAAAAGCACAGAGAAAGACAAGGTCAGTTTTCAGAGCTCTGATACTGAAGTCAGGCAGAAATTCTTTCTTAGACTGAAACAGATTGTTAATAAAATCCATGCCATTTTGGCATCTGTGCCTTTTCACCAAAATCAGAAACCGAGCCAGGGAACCAAATAAAACAGTTCTAACAATAATTAGCCATTCAGCATGGCTAGGCTAATAGTCAGTTGTTTACTTCCACTCTTGTTTACTTGAGGTCTGGAAACAAGTAGTTCCGTTCTGCTTCATGTCAGTGCTTCCAAATCCTCGCAGGTTAATTGCTGGTTCTCCAGGGTGCAGATGGCTGAACCAGGGAGAGGTTTTTAATTACCACGCTCTGATTTCACACTCTGGGCATCACAGAGGACAAAACACTCCCTGCCTTGCTGCCTTACTTTCTTTCTTTCTGTGGTGTAACATGAAAAAAAGACAGGATAATAAGGGATGAGCTACAGGAGGGAAAAGAGGGGTGAAAGTTGGAGGGAGAACCAGGCTGAGAGTCAGCGTGTGTGGGAGTACGTGAGATCTTCACTCCCGACAGGCCGGGAATTATATTTTCCTTACCAGGAAGTTTCCTGTGGCGCTTAATCACCCTTTAAGTCAGCTTTACCCAGAGAGAAGCAGCAGCTATAATCACATGTGTGAAGAGCCTCGTCATGAACGCAGACCCCCTGAACACTCAGGAGGATGGGATTCAGAACAGCTCCTGATGGCAGCTTGGGTTTTTTTGGTTAGTTTGGTTGATGGCAGGAGGACGGAGCAGGTCGGGGGTGTTTTAGTCTCATCACTGAACACCTGTCATCCACAGAGGGAGGGATGGGAAGCAGAAGGCACAGGACAGAAATGGATCACTGGGCTCAGCGCATAATGCCTGTTTCCTTCCTTTCTTTCTCCCCGCAGCAGTGAGGTTCTACACAAGATGCTTCTTTTGCATAAAGTAGAATTATTATTGCTAAAGCATGAAGAGTAAAAGAAAAAAAACGTTTGTTTTCTTTCTGTCTGCCTCTCATCCTTGTGTATTCCATTTGTCAACACCATGTGATGACACAAACAGTCATCAAAGGAAAATCAAATTCAGCAAATCATAATGAAACCATTTCCTTTGGCTGTGTTTACAGAATCGACTAAAAAATAACCCAAGGCTGGGTTCACATGTGGCATGTTGAGGGTAAGACACTACCCACTAAGACTGTGGTTCCCAAACTTTCTGCAGCGCCCCCGTTTGTGGATTAAACTTTTGTCCCTCAACATGAAAAAAAATCTCCACCAAACTTTTTTTTTTTTTAAGTGCAACAAAAGTTATGAAAAATTGGAACCACTAAACTGAGTAAAGGGAAAACCTTGGCTCAGTTTAGTCATCCATAATATCATACTTCACCATCTACCTGAACTAAAGAGAAGGTGTCCACATAGGAGCAACGTTTTTGACCACTCTTAAAGGTATACTCCCAATTCGCATATCTTGTACTATGACAAACTTTTGGGCTCACAGTTTTAGTCTGCTCACAAACTGAAACAAAGACCCCTCCTAGAAACTGCATGAAGCTCACGTGTAAATGTGAGTCTAATGAGAGATGAGCCGGATGTCCCGGGGCAAGAACACACACTGAGCAAACAGAAACGTAGTCACAAGTTACACGTCATGTGACTGTTTGCCATCACACGCTGCTTTCTAGCTGCGAAGATAATGTCATTGGTGACTGGAGCAAGTCTGTCACAAGAGCATCTCTCACTCTTTTTCTTTTTTTATTTATTATTATTATTATTACAGCAGAAAAAACTGGAGCAAGTCAGTCACAAGAGCATCTTTTTTATTATTATTATTATTACAGCAGAAAGACGTTTTAAACACTGACATAATCATCTGTTTTCGACTGCAGTACCAACTCTGAGCTGTAGGGTTAGGCTAAGTGCAAGAACATTATTCATTTCAGATTTTGGTTTCATTCTTTAATCCTGGTTATTTCAGAGCCAATGCTCTGACCTGTGATGCTGAAACAGCGACGAGTTAAAGGATCCTTGCACTAATATAATGAACCTGCATCGTGTAAAACACAAGATTCACGATTGTGGAGTGACTGTGCACTGCAGTGAGAGCTGCAGCTGCTTTCCCTTTAATTTGGTGTTTGTTTAATTCCTATTCCTAAGCAGTTTCACCATCTCTTGCATACCCAGGTTCAGAGCTTTGGCCACTGTTAGCGAGGTCTTGTTAATGGGTACTTCATCCTAACATGGCTTTAATGTTCAGAGCAGACGTGATTTACGATGGGCGGAATTCCCTTCCTCTGCAAATCCTGCTTGTGCAAAATAATTGGCTCATTTGTCAGAGGAAGCAGAAAAGAAACGGTGCTGCATAGTCACGACTGCATTGAGATTTGAATTTGTTGAGGCAAACAGATACAAGGAAGGAAGCAAAAAAGTAAAGAGATAAAGTGGAGTTCAGTAGTTCAATGCTAACACAAACGACAATCAACTTCCACTCAACTCAAAACATTATCTTAGCAGACTCCCAAACAGGAGCTAGCATGTTTTGGGTTTTGTTTTTGTCTTTTTGCTGTTGGAAAGCAAATATGACTTCTAATTGTTTAAAGCAGTTTGTTGTCAAAAGGCCAAAATATGACACTTTGTCACCATAGTGTTTGATTTCCAAAGTACACAAGTAGTACACTTTTTAATACAAATTTAATGATCTCGAAATGTGTCTGACTCTCGTCTCTACAGATACTGACTGACTGTACTGCAGGCGGACACCGGGGGCAGTGTGTGGACACGTGACCAGACAAGGTAAAACAAGTCATAAGAAGAAAAGACTGAGTCCATCATATTACAGCATGGCTGATCGGCCATGACAGCCTCTGTATTCTACTCAACAACTGTGGCTAACTGAGCGACAGAGGAGAGCTGTTGAATTTAGCTCAACAGCTACAGTAGCATACAGCTGTGACCGGCTGACACAGTCCAGGCCTCTGTCTCTCTGTGTGCATTATTTATCAGGGTCCTTTAGGATGTCACAATTATTAGTGTTGACCTAATGTGCAACATCTAAAAGAGGTATTTTGGAGAATGGTGAGGAAGGAAGGAAGGAAGTGTATTTTTTGGTGATAGTGATGAGCAGCAGCGAAACTCTCTGCTGAAAGAACGAGAAGGTCGTCTTACAGAAGCTGAAAGGACAGGACACAATATATTCTGTTTATCCATCATTTTAAACCTTTTAGCCACTTCGCAGGTACCAGCTCTTCCTTTGTTTGCCAACCCGCCCTCTGTAGATATGAAAATGTCATGGTGGCATTTTAACACACTGCTGTGACACTAAACAGCAACACACATTCTTTACAGATTAAAAAGAAAAGGAGAAATAGAAAACCATCGTCTAACTTTTAGCTAATGTAGTGGCTCATTGTTAAAAATGGTCAATTTTTATTTATTTTCGAACACTCTCAGCCGATGCAGTATTAATCATATTTTACTGGTCAGGTTTTTGTTAATTTTTTTTACCTATTCTTGGCTAATCTTTATCTTAACTTCTTTACCCATTATTAATTGTAGACATTTTTATTTTACCATATTATATATTAGTATTTGTTATATTTATGCTTCTTTATGCTTGAAATATTTTTTAGCCAGGTTTGGCTATCCTTTAGCTTGTAGTTTTGCTCACATTTAAATGTTTTTACACTGGACAGCTATAATTTGAATCTTGGCTAACATTTAGTATTTTCTGGACTGACTAGCTGTTAGCTGTTTTTTTTTCTGTATTATAGTAAAGCTGTCCTCTTGGCTAACCGTTAGCTTGTTAGTCAGAATAATTTAATAGGTTGGCATATTCTTCTGTTCGTTTTTGCTAAGCTTTAGGGAACTTTTTTACCTTAACTTTTTTCTTAGCTTATCTTAGCTGTTCTAAGCTAACTTTTTTAATTTTTTAGAAAATAGTTATGAATTTACCAATTACTTTAAATTTTAGGGACCTTTTTTACCTTAACTTTTTGCTTAGCTTATCTTTTTAAGCTTTTCTAAGCTAACTTTTCAATTTTTTTAGAAAGTAGTTATGAATTTACCAATTACTTTAAATTTTAATTGGGTTGTTTTATGTGGATTTTTAAGTTTAATTTGTATTTTTCCCCTGAAGACTTTTTTAATGATATTCACTAAAATTATCAGGCCACTGTGACATAGAAAACAAAACTAGGATATTGCCCTTAGAGTTTGATGGTGTACTGTAAAACTGATGACCTACTTCTTATAGTCACCCCAGACACTTTAAAGAGTGACAATCCTGCCTGTCAATAGTCTGGTGATATTCTGGCCTGTTTTGACATCTCCCCTGGGCGTCGAAACAATACTACGACCTCAAACTCAACAAGATTCATTTGCAAATCAAGAGTTCTCAGTCACGTTCCTGTAATATGTCTGTGCCGGCCTATTTTCGTTTTTTGTGAAGGTTTGTATTCATTTTATCATTAAGTGAGAAGTCTTGCCTGTAAACACAGCTGTTTCTCCGGCTTTTAAAAACAATAACAAATCAAATTCTCATCTGATCCCAACACCTGATGTTGTAAATGAATTCACAAGTTAAATAATCAGTCGTTACCACCCACAGTTTTGATGTGGAACAGATATTTTGACATCTTCCTGAGTTTGAGTTGAAAGACCATAAAAGGTGAAACTCAGCTGAGGTTGAGAAGATCCAGGATCCCTCGGCTGCTCCGACTGTAAATCGCACTGTTTATTCCCACTGCTCAGTCTGCTGTGGGGCCGTGCTGATAAATCCTCTTCACATGGTCACTCAGTTTACACTGACGTTGGGTTCCAAATATTACTGCTCAGGTTTCAGCCTTAAAGGGCTCAGCCTTAAAATAGACTTTTTAAGGTTTTATTTTAAAATGAACTTTGGAGAGATGGGGCTCAAACCTTTAGAAATGTAGAGGAGTAAATACTTTTTTTTCAAGGTTTTATTTTAAAATGAACTTTGGGGAGATGGGGCTCAAACCTTTAGAAATGTTTTTTCACAGAAATCTAAACATACTTAGAAATCACATACTTTGCTAAACGGAGTCCTACCATCTTCACCACTACCTTTTCCATGCCTACTCCTTGGGCTCATCACCAAAGTGCTGCCCACTGCTCCTGTGTGACTGGTGTTAGTGTTTCATTCCAGTTGAATGGGCTAATTCAGAGTAATTTCTGTTAAAATTAGTGGAAAATATGTTTAAGGGAAACCTCGAAATTGTCACAGCTCTGTATGGAAGAGTAATGAAAACTGACAACTTGAAAAACTTCATAGTCCAGTTCATTTTTTTTTTTTTTTGACAAATTACAATGAAGTTTGTATAGTAAATTACCAGTGATGTTGAGCCTGGTTTTGTATAAACTCTGCATCACCAAATCAAGGCGTCCTGCAGTGGAGAGGTTAGACAGTCTCAAATGATCAGGTGGATCTGCTACATTAGTTCACAATTCTTCTGACAGGTGGTCAAACACTGATAATGAAGTTATCATGCCCAACAGTAACAGGTGACCGCGGCGCTGAGCTTTTGATTAATGAAGCACATCAGGTCAACAGGGGCTCGGGCCATGCGGGATTCCCGCGGCGGTTTAGCGTCCTGATGAGCAGATGTGCTGCAGCGGGGCATCAATATTCATGCTCAGCTGCAGCACCTTGCTGAGATTAGTCTTGACCTCACACAGAGTCATACCAGGGGGGGACAGGGAGGGTGGAGGAGTGGGAGGGGGGAGGCAGAGGGAAGATTGATCACACACACCAAGGATGACGGTGTGTTTGAGCTCTCCTGCTGCTTGATCTGTTTAATCACAGAGGTTACAGAAAGTCAAAGTAGCAGCTGAGGACAGGACTGTTTGCTAAAACAGACAGTTGACGAATGTGTGGAACAGTAGATGGTTGATGCAACATGACAGAAACTGATGCTTACACCCCTGGGGCACAAGGGGTCACTATTCAGTGAAAATGATACAGCCTTTTAGCTATAATTAATTGTACCATTCAAGGACAGGGTGAAGAGTCGCAGCCAATCCCAAGTGACAGGAGGCAAAGGGTTGTAAACCTATTTTAACAGTTTAAATTTTAGACAAACAAATGTGGAGCCACCTGCTGGAGGTTATGTGCTACCTGTATGTAACATGTCACGGCGACGCAGCTGTAACTGAACTGTTGAAGTAGAAATATGTGACTGTTGGGTTCTCTGGTGCTGCCCAGCTAGCTTGCTTGCTAACAGGGAAACATAACGTTCACAACTTGCCCTAACAGAAACAAGCATTTGTTTTTTTAAATTCATCAAATTATCTTGCATTAAGTAAAAACAGATTGGTAATATCTGACTTAACAAGACTGACTAAAATATAAAAAAATCCCTCTCTCTCTTTATCTCTCCTTTATCTCGCTCGCTCTCTCTGTTTCCCTATACGTATTTCTGTATATACTTATATACATCCTGTCACCTGTCCTTCCTTGGTACTAAACAAACATTCGTTGATTGATTTGTTGTACCGTGTTGTGACACTGTATTTGTGACTTTGTAGTCGAGAAGAAATATATACAGATGAAAGTTGACCTTTACGACAACGGCTAACAAAAACTTTTTTTGCCTTTTCTGAAGCCACCCCTGCTCCTTGTCCATTTGTCTGTGTTTTAAATATAGTTCCTGACAAAGCTGTGCCCCCTCTCTCTCCTCCCACTTTCTCTGCCTCCCCCTCCTCACTGTCACTGGGCTGCCTAGCAACTGACACCATAAATAATATGTCTGCGTGTGCACTTGTGTGTGGTGTGTGTGTTCACAGGCGTGTGTATCTGTTAGTAACACTTATCTCTGTGTGGCATGCCTGCGGTATTGTAGTGCTCGACTTCCTCACCAACACAGTGGGGGTGAATGACGGTTTTTAGGATGTGTAAACCTGTGAACCTCTCTCTCTGTTTTCATGTAGACACAGCACACCCGACCTGACAGACGGACAGACTGACAGTGCCCATGGCGAGCAATAACACGGCCAGCATCGCACAAGCCAGGAAGCTGGTGGAGCAGCTGAAGATGGAAGCCAACAATGACAGGATAAATGTGAGATACACACATACAGTATATATATATATATAT